GATATAGCGGACTATGGCAAGGAATCCCATATGGTAGATGGCTTGCAATCTTTCACAAAGGACGGCAATTTATTATGCCATACCACATGGGCATGTTCTGTTATACGTGTGTCTCTCTAAACGAGGAACTTCCATGTCGTAATAAATAAACTCATTTGACTCTGGTTTCTTGAACTTAGGTAATTGGGTTGGAGTGGTCTATTCTTCATAAATGTAATTTTCAAATTAAGATTCTCCAAGGACAGTGGTTTCTCTTCTGTAAACAGAACCAAGTGCGAAGGAGCATGTCGTATTATTAATTAAAATAAATCTCAATTTCAAAAGTATGTCGGCAACTGATTAAGATAAATTCTTTTTCATGTCCCATCCACTGGAAATGTGAAATACCTTCTGTGGATCGAGAAGACAAGCCATTAGCAGTCAAAGGGACAGGTGCATTCCTTTCAAGATGATTAATACGCATGAATGAGGAAGAGAGAAAGTATCTGGAAACAATGGGCAAGTGAAAAGAAATTAATGGCAGGTTGTCGGTTTATTTTATACAATAAACTCTTCAAATAGTTTTTGAGCAAATTTTGTGGTGGTGACTATATATCACCCAGATACAAATAAAATGGGTAAAAACAAATGTAGTAATTGTTTTGCTGGAGAGCTAGCGTGACTCCGACGGTGGAGGGATGATCATCGTCACTTTGTTAGTATGCAGAGGTGATGGTCAATGGCGGAGATGGGGAGTGGTAATTGTTTAATTTATTGTCCAAAAAAACCCTCTCCCCTTAAGATATTTTATTTAATCTATTAATTTAATTTTTATATATTATGCATAATAATGTATAGAGAGATACCAAAATTTTGTAACTATTTTTAGTATAAACTTTTTATTCTGACTTTCACAATATCTTAATGATTATTTTTCAATAAAACGGTTGTAGAACTAATATTTTTATAAAGAAAATATGGGTACAGCGATAGTACTTGTCTTTTTCACTAATTAATAAAAATGATTGTTATAAATTAATTAAAAATGATCACAGATATAATCATTTTAAAAATAATTATAATTTTATTACTAATGACAGCCCTTGGTTGAATGGTGTTGTAAAAATAATTTATACTATCAATATATTTAAATTTAAAAATTAATATTTTTCATATTTTTTTACTTAATGTAGTTATGTAAATTTTTATCTGAAAAATCTTAGTTTAATATAATTTTTTTGTGTTTATTACTATATTATAAAAATTAAAAGCAAGAGCTGAAATCTGAAAGCAGAAATGTATTTGACAGTCTCACATTCCTGTTGTCTGACAACTAATTGCCCAACAATAAACAAAATATATATTTCAATATTTTGTTCTCTGGCCACAATTTGCATGTTACATGAAAAATAATAATGGAACGTGAGGATTCGTCCTCGCCATTCTGGCATGTTCTTGCATAGAGTCAACGAAGAATAATTTCGGTAAAGTTTTGGACAAACAAAAAGTTCCGTACACTGCACTCTGCATAAACTTTATGTAGAAACTATGATAAGCAATCTGAAAAGGACTTTTTCCTTTTCATAGTTTTTGCAGTTGATGGATATTGGATAGCATAATATAACACAACAATTTGGAGTAAACACAGTAGTGAAATAAGCATCGGTTTCTAGTTTTAGACAAAGCATGAATGATTACATACAACACCATTGAGGAAAGAAATTAATGAGGATTGAATAATGAAGCAAAGTGCATGTGATGTAGGGCAAAGAGTTAGTGTAGATTAATTCTCCAAAACACTCTTCCAAGCCACCATTTTCTTCCTCTTCTCTGCGCAATATAATTAATAACATTAATACTACTCCAAGAACTTTGAGCTATTCCATTAATTTCGGAACAATGCGCAGGCTTACTAATTTATCAAGAGTGGTAAAACTCACATCAGTGGAATAGAACTCTCAGAATCAACAACTCTGTGCGTTTGTAACTTCTTAACCTTGAACATCAAGATGAAAAGCAGAAAGAGAAGCAATGCTGGTTTGGAGTCCAATTTTCATTATTGTACCTGGCCTTCCCAGAAACTTTCCAACCTTTAAAATAAGACTATAAAAGATTATATATAAATAAATCGAATGCCACTATTGGTTGGTAGCTTCAGTTTTCAAATCTTTTATCTTTTAATGTCCATTTTTTTTTTCCTTAAAGGATCATTATCCTGACTTTAGTGCAACATTTTTCATTTAAGTTTTTGTGACTATACTTTTTCGATTGTTTGTTCAAAAGATTAACGAACACTTAACCACAATAATAAAATGATGGCAAACATGTTTATACAAACTATATTAGACCAATAAAGAAATAAAAAAAACCTATAATATATATAATTGTATTTTGCTTAATACATACTATTGAACCTATATTTTAAATTGAGATTAAATAATTTTTTAGTACCAACAAAATTGGTCCATAAGGTAGTTTCAAAAAGTTTAAATATTCTTTATATCAGTATTTAATAAATATATAAATTTGACCTTAATTTTAATTTTATTAAAATTAATATAATAAATAATATATTAAAAAAAAATACTCAAATATAACTTCTACCAATTTATTTTTGAAAATAGATTTGTTAATTCTTCATACGCATAATTGGGGAATAAAATTACCTTACACAAAGCAATTATTTCTTTTTTCTCCTCATTAGTTTTCTTTTATTTTCTCCCTCCTCGTTCACTTCTCATCTTTTTTTCCCTCGTTCATTCATCAGTCTCTTTTGGATCTTTTGATTTCCTTTCTTTTTTCATGTCTTATCCTTCTAATTAAAAATATTCTATTGAAATTTAATAAAAACATGTTAAAATATTTTTTAAATCAACATTAAAAGTAATAAAACATTTAATTTAAATTATTTTTTAATAAATAATCTTTTATTATTACTACTAACTATTATAATTATAACTATATTAAATTACTAAATAGAAAATTAATAAATATTTAATATTTTTTAATTATTTACTTTGATAAAATAGTTTTAAATTATTTATTTTTTTAGTTTCAGTTTTGATTTTAAAAAATTACTTTAACATTAATTTAACAAATTTAAAATAATATTTTTAATTAAAATAATAAGTGAAAGATGACAGAAGAATGAAATATAGTAAGAGGTAAAAGAGAAAATTGATAAGTAATTGAGAAAAGAAAAAAAATGAGAAAAGAAGAAAAATAAAAAAACAAATGAAGAGAAAAAATAATAACTAAAATATAAATAGAAAAGAAATCTAGTTGGAGTTTCCTACCTGTCCCTTCGTTTATTATATTTAAATGCCAATGTGGGCCTCATCCATACTCGAACATCTTCACTGTTAAAGCCCAATTAACCACAAAACAATCACAAATTTGGGTCAAACTAAACTAGTTTTTAAATAAAGGCTATTATTTTACTAAAAAAAAAAGTTGTCATTTTTTTTGTTTTCTACCATAATTTCCTTATAATTTAATTAGTAAAATATATAGGCCAATGTTAATGAATATGTTCAAGTCACTCCTAAAAAGATACAAATTGAAAGTATTTAATAAAAATACATTTATATATAGATGTCTATTAATACTTTATATAAAAATGCTTATTTATTTATAAAAAATTATCAATTTTAAACTTCTAATAAGATGTTATTAACGAATGTTTTAAATACACTTGCTGAAGTGCAAATAACACAACTAATAATAGAGTTGATGTGATGAAAGTGCTTACGAGAAAATATTCATAAAAGTTGTTAAATTTAGAAAATATTAAAGATATCAAAGTTGTGTTGGCAAATTTTGGGTCATGTATATATATGATACATATTTAAATGTGTTAGGGTCATTATTTATTAAGCCAAATAATAAAGTGATCTGAATAAATTAAAGTTTTGGCTAAAGGCATATGTCATGACAATATGATTGTGTAGAGACCATAGAGTAATTTTTAATTTGATGAGGGGCCAAATTGAAAATACTAAAACTTAAGTAATTAACCTAATTTTGGTTATATAAAGGGTCATGGTCCCCTTCTGAGTGCACACAGACAGAACATAGTTACAGTCCCGTTCCTTTCTCTCTATCCCCATCAAGAGAGAAAATCCATAGGGAAATACAGGTGCTCTTCAGGTGGAAAACCATAAGATCAAATCAAAGGTGTTCTACAAATAATATCATCATTATGGCTAATTCAGGTACGCTTTCGCATTTAGTTCATAACATATTTACAGTATGGGATTATATATGTATGTTTGATCATAAGGAAGAAGATCATATTCAATTAAAGTTTAACCTAACAATTGGTATCAGACCAACCCATACTTGATTTATGTTTGCATTTGAAAATGAGATTCTGACTAATTAAGAACCTAATTGGAGAATAATCTTCAAATTTTAATGAACTCTAGATTTAAATTTGGGGTAAATTCCCAAATTTTAAAACCTAATTTCGGATTTGAGGGTAAAAACCCCAAACCCGTTGGATCTCTCTGTGACGCGGTTTGAGCGTTATATTCAACGTTCGTCGAGAATGTGGCGAGCTTGGTTGTTCTTTGAGGCTCGCGCTTAAACAGCATCATTCACGATCGTGGTTTAGGGTTTGGATTCGGAAGCTTGTTGGCGCAAGATGCATCCTCGTATTGATCATGTCGGTCGCTCTGTTCCTCTCTGCGATGTTTTGGTTGCGCCCTGTTTGAGCCTCGCGGATCGGAGGAACCAGCATGGAGGTTCCAGATTCAAAGGTGGGGTCTTGTGGCTGGCGGCTTTGTCTCATGGGGCTAGATCCATGCTATTATAATTTAATTATAAGCGTAACCCAACAAATGTGCAGTTCCATTTAGACCAAATCCGGCTACTGGTAGCTCATGAGACTCAATTGGCAATATATGACGCCTCAAAGATGGATCGGATTCGGCAGTGGGTTCCTCAAGATGTTCTGGCTGCTCCCATAACATATGCAGCTTATTCCTGCAATAGTCAGTTAATTTATGCTACATTTTGTGATGGCAACACTGGGGTTTTTTGATGCCGACAGCTTGAGACTGAGATGTCGTATTGCACCATCCGCATACTTCTCACCTGCGGCTTTAAGTGGGAAGCAATTTGTGTATCTTGTTGTTGTTGCGGCTCATCCAGTAGAGCCCTATCAATTTGCCGTAGGACTGAGCAGATTCACGATTTGCGATTAGCGATTTGCATTGGCCACAGATTGATTAATTAATTAATTAATTTCCGTTGCGAAATTGGGATTCTTCACCGGCATGATCCTTGGTATCGACATTGGTATCATATTAATAGTCGCTTTCGCTCGTCACGAGAACGTTCGATCCAAGCATCGCTCCGATTTGGCGAAGACGATAGCAGAGTTTGCGAGGATGACGGTGGAAGATTCCAGAAAACTTTTGCCTTCTAAGTTTTATCCATCATGGGTGGTCTTCACTAAGAGACAGAAGTTAAATTGGCTTAATACCCAACTCAGGAGGATTTGGCCACACGTTGATGAGGCAGCGTCAGAATTGATAAGAACCATTGTGGAACCAATTCTTGAACAATATAGGCTGATTATTTTGTCTTCTCTCACATTCTCCAAGTTGACCCTTGGCACTGTGGCTCCACAATTTACAGGAGTTACAATTGTTGAAGAGCACAGTGGGCCTGATGGGGTGACTATGGATCTTGAGATACAATGGGATGGTAACTCGAATATCGTTCTTGACATTAAAACCCGAGTTGGTGTTGGACTTCCTGTACGGGTAAAAGATATTGGATTCACTTGGGGTTTTTAGGTTGATCTTCAAACCACTAGTGAATGATTTCCCTGGTTTCGGAGTCTGTTTGTTTTTCCTTGAAAGAAAAGAAAGATCTGGATTTTACTCGAAGGCTATTGGGGGTGATTTATTAGCTTTACGGGGATATCCGATGCTATAGAGGAAACAATTAAAGATGCGATTGAAGACTCTATAACTTTGGCCTGTACGCCAAATTATACCAATTTTACAGGGGATTTCTTGTTTAATGAATGGCAGTGGTGGATTCAGTGCCATTATAATTTTTTTTATATAAATAAATAATATATAAATTTGGTTTAGGGTTACCCTTATTAATATATTCAATTTGTTTGGTAGTTTAATATTTTTTTGAACAAATTGAGTCAAGAAGTTACCAAAGTAACCTCTCTTGAATTGGGCAGTTCATGAAAAATATTGAATGTTAGTGTTTTGTGTATATTCATGCGAGTATTAGTCGGCCCAAAGGAAGATTAATATTTGGTCGAATTGCACACACACTTGTAATGATAAACATGTGATAATTATAAGGATTTGCTTTGTCGATGATAAATCAATCCAAAGACTGGTTTGTTGTTGGACGTGCTTTATTGTCAATGTTTGATTATTACAACAAGATACCTCTAGCAGTTAATATTACTTGTCCAAAGACTTGATATTGATGGTGCATTGGGTGTCTTGAGATGGGTTAAATCATTATTTGAATATATATATTTTATTTATAATTATTTATTTTATAATGTGAGCATAATTAGTTTATTTCTTTTGTTCTAATACAGCTACAATTGCTTCTGTATCCGCAAATTTGAATTCTGTTCCGATCCTCAATGGAACAAATTTTAAGGACTTGGAAAGAGAATATTGATATTATTCTTGGCTGCATGGATATGGATCTTGCGTTAAGGACTGAGCAATCCCCTACTCCTATGGAATCAAGTACCTCTGAACAGAAAAGAGATTATGAGAAGTGGGATCGCTCAAATCGCATGAGTCTAATGATCATTAAGCGCGACATCCCGGAGGTGTTTAGGGGAACTGTTTCTGAAAACATCACAAGTGCCAAAGAATTTCTTGCTAAAATTGAACAGCGCTTTGCAAAAAGCGATAAGGCGGAGGCAAGCACTCTTCTTCAGAACTTGATCTCCATGAAATATCAAGGCAAAGGAAATATCAAGGAATACATTATGAGCATGTCTAATATTGTTTTTAAGCTCAAGGCACTAAAGCTTGAATTATCAGAAGACTTGCTCATTCATTTGGTGTTGATTTCTCTTCCCGCAACGTTTAATCAATTTAAGGTATCTTACAACTGTCAAAAGGATAAATGGTCTCTTAATGAGCTCATTTCTCATTGCATGCAAGAAGAAGAAAGGCTAAAACAAGACAAGACAGAAAGTGCTCATTTTGCAAGCACCTTTAAGGCTAAAGGCAAAAGAAAGAGATCGGAGGATCCCAAGAAGGAAGCTGCTAAAGGTCCAGAACAAAAGAAACAAACTCAAGAAAATAAATGTTTCTTTTGCAATAAGACTGGACACATAAAGAAGCAATGTGCTAAATATCATGCTTGGCGTGAAAAGAAAGGGTTGCCTAAACTACCGGAAGTCAACTAATTCTGAAAGATGAATATACGTAGAAAATGGCAAATTGGTGGAGATGGAGACTATTGAACATTTTAGATTATTATTATGTACTGGTTTTTTATTTTAGATTTAAAAGACATTTTTTTGTCGTGCCGTCTTTTAGACGGAATTTGGTTTCAGTTTCTTATTTGGACAAATTAGGTTATTTATGCTCATTTGGAAACAATAAGTTCAATTTGTCTTTTAATTCAGATATTGTTATAACTGGTTCATTTTTTGGCTAATGATAATCTATATTTACTTGATATTGTGGTCACCTATAATGCAACTCTTAATACAGAATCTCGTGGTATTAAACTAAAATTGGACTCCCGAACAGTAAGTAGTTACTTCTTTGGTTATTCTGAAAGAGTCAGGGGATATAAATTTTATGATCCCACATTAAAGACAATTTTTTATATGGGAACTGTTATGTTATTTGAGGATATTGAGTTTGGGGGGAAGAATAAGATTAAAAATTTTGTATTGGAGGAAGAATCGACAATAAATCCAGAACCGATTCAAACAGTTACTTTTGATAAAGTAAGTTCGGAACCTCCACAAGACATTGATGATAAACCCCATATTCAAGATGATTTGATTGTTTGTCAAGACCAAACTCAAGATCCTCAAGAACCTGTGCGTCATGAGCCGGGGATACTCCAGTTACTAAGGGAGACAAGTTTAGTCTAAATTAGTGCCCAAAAGGGAATTTGGAAATTAAGGAAATGCAACAGATTCCCCATGCATCAGCTATCGGGAGTTTGATGTATTCCCAAATATGTATGCATCCATACATAACATACATAGTTGGGGTTCTAGGCGGATATTTAAGCAATTCGAGGAATAGACCATTGGAAAGCGGCAAAAAGGGTCATAAGATATTTAAAGAGAACAAAAGATTATATGCTCACATACGGGAGGTCGGACCAGTTGGAGATCGCTGGATTTTCGATTCATATTTTGCGGGATGTCAAGAATTTGTAGCATGCTATGAGGCATCAAATCATGAAATATGGCTGAGAAATTTTGTCACGAGTGCGCAAATTGTGAAAGGCATTGAAAGACCACTTAAGTTATATTGTGACAATAAATCGAGTTGTATTGTTAAGGAAAGAGTACAAAGTGGACGATTTCCATAGAACACTTAAGGACAAACTCCATGATAGCACATCCTCTAACTAAAGGACTTCCACCCAAGGTCTTTCATGAGCATGTTGCTCACATGGGTGTTTTACAGTTTGAGGAATTTGTGGTTTAGTGGGAGTTAGTCATTTTCATATATTTTATGTTCTATGTTTAATTTTATATATGTATACATTGTTTTTTTTTTGGACATATTTGGTTATCTATAGATATGCGGTTTTTGTTCATTCATTACACTTTGTACATTAAGGTTTTTATATCGATCTCAATAAGTTAAAGTTTGGACCAGTTGAAAATAGACGTGTACAGATCACATTCACGTAATTTCTCATGCTACACATTTCATGATGAATCCATGTCATTTGGTTATGTCAGGATGAGTAATCTTGTTGGTTTTAGTTGCGATGATGCAATGAAAAGCTGGTTTGGTTCTATATCCGATATGATTAATGGACGAGGACTTTTGGAATATGCTAAAGGAATATAATGACAATTTTGAGCTCATAAAGTCTAACACATTTGTAAGGTTGTAAAAACATATATATTTGTGACCGAGTGGGAGATTGTTGGCAAATTTTGGGTCATGTATATATATGATACATATTTAAATGTGTTAGGGTCATTATTTATTAAGCCAAATAATAAAGTGATCTGAATAAATTAAAGTTTTGGCTAAAGGCATATGTCATGACAATATGATTGTGTAGAGACCATAGAGTAATTTTTAATTTGATGAGGGGCCAAATTGAAAATACTAAAACTTAAGTAATTAACCTAATTTTGGTTATATAAAGGGTCATGGTCCCCTTCTGAGTGCACACAGACAGAACATAGTTACAGTCCCGTTCCTTTCTCTCTATCCCCATCAAGAGAGAAAATCCATAGGGAAATACAGGTGCTTTTCAGGTGGAAAACCATAAGATCAAATCAAATGTGTTCTACAAATAATATCATCATTATGGCTAATTCAGGTACGCTTTCGCATTTAGTTCATAACATATTTACAGTATGAGATTATATATGTATGTTTGATCATAAGGAAGAAGATCATATTCAATTAAAGTTTAACCTAACAAGTTGCACATACATATATTTTTGTTTCTTATGGTTTTGGCCAAGTTTTATTTCCACATCTAAATTTTAAAGTGGTTTTGTTTGTGTTCTTAATTTTAAAATAGTTTTTTTTTTCATTAGATTATTAAAATGATTGAAAAACATATTTAAGAACTAAACGTAGATTATTTATAAATCAGAGAGCGAAAATAGTAATTTTTAAATTTGAGAGAAAAAAGAGAGACGCCAACATTGAAGGGAACAAAAGATATTTAAGTCTTCAATTTATGTAATATTTTTTTAAAATTTAATATTTGTAAGTGATGATTAGTATTCACATTAAGAAATAAAATATATATTATTTGATTTCATACTCTCAAGAGATTATTTAATTAGTAAGCATTCCGTGTAATATATGAATATATCATAAATCTGTGAAAAATTAAATTAAAATTATTATAAAAAACAATTTACTTCATTATAATTATTTTAATATTGACAAAAATAAATGTACAAATATAAAAATTTTAAAATCATAATGTTTGTATATAATTAATGAAAAAATCAACGATAATTTATAAACATGCTATGTATTTTTTCCTCATTGACCAAAATTTTCAATTGCATTTAATGTTAATTGAATAAATTTAGAAATAGAAAAAGATATGAAACCAACTATTTACCCGAATAAAAATTCAAAAACAAATTAATTTTGATTTGTTGTAATTAACGTGGAGGTTCATGACACATGATATTAGAAAGTCAAATGATTTTCTTGAAAAAAAAAATGATGTAGTTTCATGGAAAGAAGGAATGAAATCTTAAGTTAATATCTAGTTTGAATAATTTGCAAGAGACTTCAAACTTTAATAATTAAATTCAAGCACATTGAATTTATTATAGGAAGCAAAGTTTTTTTGTTTTTTCATTTTTTTACGAAGATAATTTTTTTCTAAATACCGTGAATCATGATTATCACATATTTTGGGAGTTAAAATCCAAAAGAATTTATATCCACCTTTTGCTCTGAATTAAATATAAAGGTTTAAAGTTTTTAAGCAGATAATTATTATCATTTATACCGGAAATTCTGGTTAAGATAAAGTCTTGATAAATCCTTATAACTCCTAAATATTTGTCAGGAGAAATTCAAGTCTTTAGAATTAAAAAAAATAGAATTAA